GTCAGTCGCCGCCGCGGCCCCTGGCCGACCCCCGCGGCGCGCCGGAGGCCAAGGGGAAGAAGGCCATTGCCGACAGGTGCATCCTCAACCTGCCGCTGGCTTCCATCCTGGAGGGGGAGAACCTCGGTCGCACCAAGGACCCCGCGGAGAACTTGCGCGAGAAGTGGGGGGGGGGGCGTCAAAACAGCCGACGAGGAGAGCAAGGTCGCGGCTTCCACCTGGCGCGACCACCTCCCTGCCTGCGACGCCGCTGCGTAGCTGAAGAGCCAAGTCCACGCGATGCCGAAGGGCGACCTGGACATGGCCGCAACGACCCTGCAGGAGAAGCACGCCGAGTTGCCGACCGTCGTCAAGTCGGAGCTGGCGAGGCGGACCATCACGGAGAAGGGGGCTCAAGACTACTAAGGGGCACTGGTTACGGCGCCCCCTTGGGTGCATCCGGGCATGGAGGTCGAGTTGGAGCGGGGCCCGAAAACACCTCGGCAGCTGTTCAAGGCAGCGCGAGCGAAAAGGCAACCAACTTCGCGACCATGCTCGTCGACGACACGTTGATCCCGATGGTTCGCCAGGCTGTCAATAAAAATATGGAGGTGACACAGGTGCGTCGGATTGCACTGGAGACGTTCGACCCCATCGATGAGGACGTGGGCGAGGAGCACAGCGAGATCCCGGGGACCGTCGGGCACATCTTCAAGGCGTTGACGGCCCACGTCGCTCCCGAGCCAGGGCACTTCAACAGCTCAACAAACCGACGCTTTCGCGGAGCCGACGGCGAAGAACCAGCCGTGGGCACGCGCGCTGGCATCCGCGATGAAGCCCACGCCTTACTGGAAGGATATTGCTGGTTACAGGAACACCATCGGACAGACCATGGAGGAGCGGCCCGAGATCAAGAAGCAGTTGGACGACCTCTGCGCGAAGAGGCAGGTGACGACTGAGAGGGCGCAGTGGGCGCTGGACAATTACCAAAAGGTGATTGGGATGTTGCCGCCAGGATCTGCCATTCAACCCCCCACCGCTCTGCAGACTCACCTGGGCGATCTGGCCTCGGACGCGGCCGCGGCGAAGCAGCAGGGGCAGCGCGCGCGATTCCGACGCGACCTTGAGGTAGGCGCACATCGACGCGATGATGACGGCCGCGCAGGTCCCCCCACACATGGAGCCCGTCGCGTTTGCGGCCAAGACCTTCGACGATTGGATCGCCACCCAGGGCGCCAACTCCCTGCACGAATGTCGAGAACAGCCTCATCGTGATCGCCGGCTCCGCCGGTGCCGAATGGATGAGCCCAGAGGTCAGCAGAGCTCTGCAATCGCTGCGATGCTGCTGCTGCCGCCCCTCCCCCTCCTCATTCGCATCGCCATTTTCTTCCTCCTCTTCCTCTTCCTCCTCTTCCTCCTCATCATCCTCTTCCTCCTCCTCATCATTCTCCTCCTATCGTCATCCTGATCCTCACCCTTCTCCTCGCCCCCCCCTCCCCCGCCGCCCCTCCCCCCACGCCCCCGCCCGAATTGCCCCCCACCATCCTCGCCTTCATCTTCGCCATCCGCATTCTTTTCATGTCAGGCCCCCTCGCACCCCCCCCCGCTTCGCATTTGCACGGGGGAACCCCCCTGCCCCACCCCCCAAAAAAAACGCACGCACACACACACACACACACACACACACACACACACACACACACACACACACACACACACACACACACACACACACACACACACACACACACACACACACACACACACACACACACACACACACACACACACACACACGCACACACACACACACACACACACACACACACACACACACACACACACACACACACACGCCTCTCTGATCCCAGATTATGCACCCTTAAATCTCCCCGAACCCTCCTCGTTCTCTCTCCGAGTTATTTCCTCCCCATCGCCCCCCCCCCCCGCCCCCTCCTACCCTCACTCCTCACCTCCCGTCCCCGCCGATATTCATTTTCCCAACTACTCCCCCACTCCTCGTTTTCCCTAGCTGCCACCTCCTTCGCCCTAGTCCCGACCGCCCTATTCTAGCCGCTCGACCGTTCCAAGGCTTCGGCGGCGACATCAACGCGCGCCGACCTGGACGAGGTCAATGACAGGCCGGCGAAGGCGAGCGACCCCATCGAGGCGAAGACCGGCTGGGATGCGGCAGCGACGAAGTGCCCCGAGGGCTTCGACGGCGCAGAGCGGCCTGAGTTGGTCGAGTTCGCCGCTGCCGCGTTCGGCGGCACGCGCGTCGCCCTGAACGCAACCAAGAGCAAGGCGCTCTTCAAGAAAGGTAACGCCATGAAGCTCGATGGGGTTCTGCATGCACGCGCTGACAGATGAAGCTCACGCAGCAGGAGATCACCGAGGTCATCGACGGCGCCGCCTTCGACACGGGCGACCCCCACCCGACGGTCAAGAAGCAGCTCGAGTTGAAGTCCTCGCCCAGCGGCGCGGGTCAGGCCAAGAAGAAGGCCGCGCCAGGCTCGAGCTGAGGCGGCAGCCTGCGCCCCTCCGACACGGGGAGACTTGCTGCGGCAGGGTGGCTCAGAGAAAATTTAGCGAACCTGATGCAGTAGCTCCTCGTCCTCCTGCTTATCCTTCCCCCTGCTGCTCCTCATGCCTCCTCGTATTCCTGCATGGCTGACGCCGCTTCCGCCTGGCCCCATCCGCTTCCCGAAGACGGCCCCGACGCGGCCCCCTGACGGCCCAGGAGGCCTCAGGGGCGATCCAACGGCGCACCGAAATTGCCTTGAGACGGCCCAGCCACGCCCGCAAGGCTTGCACACGGCCCCCGGAAACCCTGGACGGGTTAAGGGAGCGCCCAGACGGCCCAAGAGGCCCTTCAGAGGCTCCAGGAGTCCCCCGAGAGACCCCAAAGACGCCCCAGGTGATCCCCGAGCCCCCCCCTTCCACCTTTACTGATCACTTGCTGCTCTACTCCACCCTTCCCTCACGTATCCGTTCCGCCATTCCCGCCGTGCCCTGTCCGTCCGCTGGGGCCTCTCATCCCTACTCCCCTCTCTCCTTCTCCGTTCCTCACATAACTCCGTTTTCACTGCAGGGTTTCCCTCTTGCATGTCTGCGCGCGAATGGCCATAGGACACAGCAGCGCAAGCCAAATGTGTGGAAGCAAGAGGTGGGGCACCTGATATATTTCAAAGGGGAGGAGGAGGAGGAGGAGGAGGAGGAGGAGGAGGAGGAGGAGGAGGAGGGGGAGGGGGAGGGGGAGGAGGAGGAGGAAAAAGAGGAGGAGGAAGGAGGAGGATAGGACATGGAGGAGGAGGAGAAGGAGAAGGAGGAGGAGGAGCAGGGAACAGGAGAGGGGACATGCAGATAAGACGGGGGAGGAGGGCGAGCAGAAGGTCAAAGTCCTCTTGGATGCCTCTCGGGGTCTCTTGGGATGTCTCTTGAAAGTTTCTGGGGGGGCCTTCTGGGGCGCCTTGGGGGCTGCGCAGGTGCCTCCCGGGGGCCTCGCGGGGCTATCTTAAGGCTCTCTTGGGAACCCTAGAAGCCCTGCTGACGCCATGTTGGAGGAGGTCGCCCAAAGAAGGTGGGAGTTTTAACTCGCGCCGCCCACTTGGAGCCCCCAAAGTCGACTCCTGGAGCTCTCTCGGGGCGCTCTTGGGGATTTGTTGGTCGCTCTTGGGGCCGTCTTGGGGTCCTCGTGGTTTTTTCTTGCGGCCCTCTTGGGCCGCGCCGAGTCCATCTTGACGCTTTGGAAAGCCATCAGAGAGCGCAAAGGCGAGAAAGCAAAAAACAGTGTTGTCCTTCAGGTTTGGAGAGCATTTGGACCTCCTGGGTGCTTTACGGGGGTGTTCCCAGGCCATTTGGAACTGTCGTTGGGCAGTCTTGGAGCATTTTGGATCACGTTGGAGGCTACCTTGAATTTTTGTGAACCATCTTGGAGAGCATATTGGGCTCTACGAGACCCCCTTGGAGTCATCTTGGGCCATCTTTGACGCTCTAATGGGTCGCGGGGCGCCCCGTCCAGGTCCAGGGGGAGGGGACAGGGGGAGGGGTCAAGACACCTTCCCCGCCCGCAAGCCGTCTCCTTCGCAAAGTGCGCCCGGCGTGCCAGGCGCGCCACGCGCGCGAGGTGCGCCAGGCCCCCCCGTGGTCCAAACGTGCCAGGCACGCCTGGTGTGCCAGATGCGCCACGTGATCCACGTGCGCCACGTGTGCCGCATGCTCCAGACGCGCCAAGTGCGCCACGTTCGGGGCACTCGCAGAGTGTGCCAGGTGCGGCTGCGGACGTGACAGCACACATCAGAAAACGTGTCGGCCCCCACCACCCTTGTCGAAAACCAATGCGCAATCGCGGCGGGGTGGCCATCATAGCGTCTGGTGGGCCTGCACATAGTAGGCAATATGCCAGTACCCCCGCCGTCCAAGTCAAAACCCATTACACAGTGATCGCGGGGCGTCCGCGCATGATCCAGATGATGTTTCGAAGTGCAGTTTGCATTGTTTCTAAAAAGGGATATTGGCCCTGCGCGCAGCAGGCAGTATGCGGGCACCCCCTGACCAAAATCAATGCAAAATGCTCGCGGCCCCCCGATCATGACCCAAGATTTTGCCCCAAAGTGGACTTCACATTGTTTTTGGACAAGGATGGTGTCGGGGGGCCCTCATGAGTCCTGGTTGGCTGCCAAACTACGCCCCTCATGGCCCCTCAGGCGAAAATGGAAGAGAAAACATGCTAAAACAACCTACGCACAAAGGTCTGGTGGGATTATACGGATTCTTATGGTTGACGTCCTGGTCTGGCACGGTCCGGGACTGTCAGGGCGCAACAGCCACGTTAATTTGCCGTTTTGAAGTCTTAGGTTTGTCTGGACGCAATTGTAAAGTTTATTTGCGGCGTTGAAGCGCGTTGTCCTCCAACGGCGCACTTCCAGCAGTGAAAATAATGGCCGTTTCTCCATGTCGTTGACGCGCCTTGGGTTTGCACTGGTCCTCTTCCTCCTGCTCTCCATGCTTCCTCCCAACAGGCCTCGCCCCCGGCGTGTCCTTCACGATCGAGGCCGAGGCAGCCCCTGCGCAGCGCAGAGAGCCCGGCCAGCCGGCCGTGGACACCGAGTGACGCAGCGGCTCCGCGGGCACCGCCGCCGCTGCCGCAGGTGGAGCCGTGCGGGCGCAGCGTGAGCCCAGGCCTCCCAAGGAGCGGGTCCGAGCAGAGTTCGGGCTGCGAGGCTCGAGGCTCCCGGGCGTTTCCGTCGGCCTTCGTGGGTCCTGCAGGCCTCGGGGGTGCTCTCCCGCGGCTGCGCCTCGTCGACGCTGGGGGGGGCCTGGATCGTCCCGAGCGGCCGCCGGGGACCCGAGGTTACGACCCGAACTCCAGGCGAGCAAGGACAGGGGGGATGGGCTTCAGGAGGGGACTCCAGGCCTCCCACATGGGGTCCAATGGGGTCGGGGGGAGCGCACCGCATCGTCGATGCCTTGGCGATGCGGCTCGATTGGGATCCCAGTTTTCTCCACGACGGCGTCGCCGATGCATGCGCCGACGTCGCTAGAGCATCGCCGATTCATCGGCGATGTATCGGCGATGCGGTGCGATCCTCCGACCCCATCTGCTCGGACCTCATGCGGGAGGCCTCTGTGCAGGCTTGGGGTGGGTGGGCAGTTCCGGGTTCGAGGTTAGAGGTTTTCGGGCAGCCTCGTCGGTTCTTGACGGTTCTCCTCCGGTATGGGCCTCATACAGTGCAGGCTCGTCCACAAGAAACCTTCCACGAGAAACCCAACCTTGAGACCCCAGGACGTCCACTGATTTTTGGTGCGTGAACGCCACGTTTTCCATAGCAAACCCCCCCGCCTCCCTCCTCCTCCCTCCTCCTCCTCCTCATCCATCTCCTCCTCCTTCTCCTCCTCCTCCTCGTCCTCCTCCTCCTCCTGCTCCTTCTCCTTCTTTCTCCCTCCTCCTACTCCATCCTACTCCCTCCTACTCCCTCCTCCTCTTCCTCCTCCTCCTCCTCTTCCTCCTCCTCCTCCTCCTCCTCCTCCTCCTCCTGCTCCCCTGGAGGCAAGCAGGGTGCTTCTTGGCCTGGGCCCCCACAGCAAGCGCGACCCCGCCCAGGAGCGAGCGGACTCGCCACCCAAGGGCCCCAGCGGTGATGCAGCGTTAAGTCGGGCCTCGCTCCTCTACAGTCGGGGGAGCGTAAGACCGGGTTTGCCAGGACTCGGGTTCGCCATCGTTTTGTGACGACCGCGCCTCGGATTTTGACGAGGAGGAGTTTCGTGGGATGTCTGCAGCGGGAGGCCTCGTCAAAATGCAGGCTCGGCCTCGTCATTTTTTTGACGACCTCGTCGGGGATTTCCGAGTCCCCTGTACCCAGGTCTTACGTCCCCCTGATACAGGAGGAGGAGGACGAGGAGGAGGAGGAGGAGGAGGAGGAGGCGGAGAATCGATGGCTGGCGTGGGCGGGGCTCGGATGTCGCCACCTAAGGAGGGGGTCGCAGGCCGCAGGGTCGGAGGAGGGCCAGTCTTAAGTCGGGACTGTCCATCTACGGAAGGAGTAGTTCCAAAACTGTCGAAAATTGGTCTGGGGACGATTTTGTGTACTATGTTTGATAATGTTTGGCGTATGCTTTGACGGTTCTGAATTCTTCGTCAAGAATCCACCTGTAGGGGGACATGCCCGACCTGAATGTAGCGCCGATTCCAGGTCGACACTTCCCTCCTGGGCTGTCTCCCCCCCTAACGCTCGGTGGGGCATGTCCTCCTACAGGCGGATTTTGGGCGAAACATTAAAAGGAATCACAACATATGCAAAAATAGGAAAGCATCGCCCTCCATTACTACTTGTGGACTATGTTTGGCTACTCCTCCCGTAGGGGGACAGACCCGACTTCACCCTGACGTTGCCCCTCGGCCTGGCCCTGGCCCCGTCGGCGGTCGGGCACCGCCGGCACAGGCGCCTCGTCGCCGGCGGTGCAGTCCGGCGGAGGCCAGGCTTGTCCTGGCCGCTGCACCGTGTTTTTCCCAGCCGCGGTCGCAGTCGTGCTGCCCTCCGCAGCGGTCGGCAAACGCAATGCTACAGTCTGTGCTATGTGTGTGTTTGTGGGTGCCTCTCCATTTTCCTGCGGAGAGTCAGGTGGAAAGACTGCCTCCAAAGCTCGGTTCCATCATATCTGCATTGCCCTCACCGGATATGTGTAATGACCGCCGCTCCTGTGAGGCACCACCGTGGCCTGACCCAGGCGTTGGTGGAAGTGGAAGTGGCGCAATCGTACCTGGTCGGAGCAGATCCCTGGATCCGGAGTGTTGTCGAGCCCTGTTCGTCAAAGTGATTCGTCCGTTCAGGATTATTTGTGTCGGGGCTGGTGAGGCAACAGGCCATTGAAATCGGATGGGCGGCATGAGTGTAGGATGACGGGGTGGTGCGTATGTTCAGTTCCTGAGTGGTCCGCGGGCATTTGTCCAAAAGGCATTTCGTCATTCATTCCGAAAGGGAAAAACGACACACGTGCGACACCGTGCGTATACATACACACACATATATATATATATATATATATGAGGCCGAGGACCAAGATTCCCAAATCTTCCCGGCGCTGCTGGAGCTGGTCGCATAGATGTTCCAGGGGCCAGGGCGTCAAGAGGGGCCAGAGGGGCCCAAAGACAGTCCGAGGTGACCCCGATTCGCCCAGCTGTCGCTCCAAAACGCCCAAGAAGGCCTGCAGGTCGGCCCACGAGGCCCCCGAGACGTCACAAGAGGGCTCCCAGAGGCTCCCCAAGAGGGCCCCGAGATGCCCAAATCATCATGTTCCCTGGTTTTTCAAGCGAGCCTAGTGTTCTCGCGTTTTCTGGGCTTCGACGCTCCAAAGAGACCTGAGAGGCCTTCAAAAACGCCCCCCCAAGATGGCCCAAGAGGCCCCCAAGAGCGCCCCCAGACGACCCAAAATTGCCGTAAGGCGGCCCGATCAAAAGAGGGACTTCTTTTATCTCCGCCCCCCCGGGTGCCACGATCCTCGTGACAGGATGGGGGGGTCCCAAACTCAGCTCCCCCCTCAGGAGCTGGCAAACAGCTTCTTGGAGCTCTCTTGGAGCGCTTTTTTGCGCTCTTGGAGCGGTCTTGGAGCCGTTTGGAGTATTTTGGGAGCCATTACGATCGAGGTCCCCCCCTCGGGGGCCACTATCCTCGTGAGGGGTGTCAAAAGATGGCCTTCCCAGGAGACCATCTTGTACAGTCTAACCCTTCGCGGCCCGTCCAGGTCCAGGGAAGGGGGTAGGGGGAGGTAGCTAACTCCCACCTGCCCTCCCAACACATCCGTAACACCCGAGCTTCAGCATATTCAGCGGTCGCCTCTGGATGGACAACTACTGGGAACAAAAACCTACCCCACGTGCGCGACGCTGGGGCAAGGTGCGCCACGCGTGCCTGGCGCGCCACGCACGCCAGGCACCTCGGGGCCCGAGCGTGCCAGGCATGTTTGGTGCGCCAGATGTGCCATGTGCTCCGCGTGCGCCAGGTGTTCCAGCCGCGCCAGGTGTGCCACGAAAACAGTACAAAATGCTTGGGGGGATCCGAATCACAGACCAAGCGTTGAATCACAGACCGCGCGCGCCGAATCACAGACAGCACACATTGAATCACAGACCACGCGCGCCGAATCACAGACAGCACACATTGAATCACAGACCGCGCGCGCCGAATCACAGACAGCACACATTGAATCACAGACCACGCGCGCCAAATCACAGACAACACACATTGAATTACAGACCGCGCGCGCAGAATCACAGACAGCACACATTGAATCACAGACCGCACGCGACGAATCACAGACAGCACACATTGAATCACAGACCGCACGCGACGGTGACCTGCTGATTCGGCCAGCTGATCCGGTGACCTGGTGTTGTGGCCAGCTGATCCTGTGATCCGGCAAATCTGGCTGAACTGGTGATCGGGCCAGTGGACCTGCGTGGCACGGGGACGGAAAGCGCACTTACTTTCAGAGCGCACGAGATCGCTGGCTCGTCCGCTCTTACACCTCTTATTGACTGCGTTCCCCTCGCTCTTGTCCTATCTCAGCCTCGGAGAGTCGCGGAGCTTTCTTTGAGCGCGATTCTTGTTTTGGAGGGGGCGGTCGGGTCGCGTTGCGTTTTCCGCGTTTGGGCTGTCAACTTTCCAGAACCCCGCGTTTGCCTTACGTGGACCGCTCGTTGTCCACGCGTTGCCGCCCGTCCCTGTGCCTGGCGTCAAGAACTTATTGCGCCGCAGCTCTCTGTTGGGAGCTTTGGTCTGATCAGCTCGATTACGTCACCGCGCGCTCTTGGGAGCCGCGGTGCTAAGAGAGTATTTTGGGCCTCTTGGGGGGCTCTTGGGGGGCTCTTGGGTGCCTCTTGGGAACCTTTTGGGACTTCTCGGGGGCCTCTGGGGGCCTCCTGGGAGCTTCTGGGTGCCTTTGGCCGTATTTGGGCTCTCTTGGGGGCCTCTTGGGGCCTTCTTGGGGCCGTCCTGGGGTCGTCTTGGGCCGTCTTGGCGCCTCTTGGGCCATCTTGGCGCCCTCTTGGGCCGTTTTTGGGCCCTCTTGGGGGCCTCTTGGGCCTTCTTGGGGCGCTCTTAGGGGCCTCTTGGACAGTCTTGGGCGCCTCTTGGCCCGTCTTGGCGCCCTCTTGGGCTATTTTGGGGGCCTCTTGGGAATATCTTGGGCCGTCTTGGGGCGGTCTTGGGGGCCTCTTGGACCGTCTTCAACGCCATGAAAAGCGAAAAGCCATAAATGCTAAAAAGCTTCTGCTAAAAGTGCACGTCTTCCTTCTGAAAATCAATGATTTTGGCCTCGTGGGGCCCTCTTGGGACGCCTCGTGGGCGCCTCCTGGGGCGTCGTGGAGGCCTCTTGGGACGTCTTGGGGCCGCCTTGGGCGGTCTTGGGCTCTCTTGGAGCGCTCTTGGGCCGTCTTGGGCGCTCCTTGGGCTGTCTTGGGCCGTCTTGGGCGCCGTCTTGGCCGCTTCTTGGGCTGTCTTAGGCGCCTAAGACGGCCCAAGAAGCGCCCAAGAGGCGTTCTCCGATGATGTCTCGAGCGAAACGCTGTTTTTAAGCCCCGAAGGCCGTCCTACTCGATAAAAAACGAGGCGGGAGGGCAATTAGATCCGGGGCCGCGGATGCCAACCCCCTCGAACTCCCCCAAGTCCAATTTCTTCCGACTAACGGACGGCACGCTAACGCGCGCTTTCCGTCATCTGGTGATCCGGTGACCTGGTGTTGTGGCCAATTGATCCGGTGATCAGGCTGATCTGGCCAGCTGATCTGTTGATTTGGTGTTGTGACCAGCTGATCCGGTGATCCAGTGATTGTGGCCAAACTGATCCAGTGATCCGGCTGATCCGGTGATCCGGTGACGTATGCGGGCGGTGGCACCAGGGCCTTCGGTGGAGCTCCCTATGGGGCCACGAAGTGTGTGAGGGGTGTGACGAAATTGGTGTGGGTGACGCATGCAGGCGGTGGCATTGGGGCCTTCGGTGGAGCTCCCTATGGGGCCACGAAACGTGTGAGGGATGTGACGAGATGGGTGCAGGTGACGCATGCGGGCGGTGGCACTGGCGCCTTCAGTGGAGCTCCCTATGAGGCCACGGAACGCGCGAGGGGTGTGCCAGAATGGGCGTGGGTGGCGCATGCGGGCGGTGGCACCGGGGCCTTCGGTGGAGCTCCCTGGCCACGAAACGTGTGAGTGGTGTGACGAAATGGGTGTGGGTGACGCATGCGGGCGGTGGCACTGGGGCCTTCGGTGGAGCGCTCCTTATGGGGCCACGAAACGTGTGAGTGGTGTGCCGAAATGGGTGTAGGTGGCGAATGCGGGCGGTGGCGCTGCGGCTTTCGGTGGAGTTCCCTATGGAGCCACGAAACGTGTGAGGGGTGTGACGAAATGGATGTGGGTGACGCATGCGGGCGGTGGCACTGGCGCCTTCGGTGGAGCCCCCCTATGGGGCCACGAAGCATGTGAGGGGTGTGCCGAAATGGGTGCGGGTGACGCATGCGGGCGGTGGCTGTGTGGCCTTCGGTGGAGCTCTCTATGAGGCACGAAACTTGTGAGGGGTGTGCCGAAATGGGTGTGGGTGACGCATGCGGGCGGTGGCACAGCTTCCTATGGGGCTACGAAGCGCTGTACTTTGTGGATGAAACGCAGTGAAAGAAAGAACGAGGAGACGCGGGGCCCGTCTCTTCCAAGCGAGGGTCCAACACCACAGAAAGGTTGGGAATTCTGGAAACCTGGAAACCCGGATCCCGATATTGAAGCCAAAATCCGTTATTACGGAAACCGATGTCCAAATTTGCGATTTGTGATTCGTCGCGTACGGCTTGTGATTCAAAATGTGATGTCTGTGATTCGTCGCGTGCGGTTTGTGATTCAATGTGTGTTGTTCGTGATTCGTCGCGTGCGGTCTGTGATTCAATGTGTGTTGTCTGTGATTCGTCACGTGCGGTCTGTGATTCAATGAATGTTGTCCAGAGTTTGGCGCGTGCGATTTGTGATTCAATGTGTGTTGTTTGTGATTCGGCGCGCGCAGTCACCTGAACACAGTGACAATGACACCGGGCGCAAAGGACGCCAAGTAAGGTGAAACGCCGACGCCACAGCAGCGCGCAAAGCGGCGTCAAAGGAGGAGGAGGGGGAGGAGGAAAAGGAGGAAAAGGAGGAGGAGGGGGAGGGCGCCCTCACCGTTGCCCCACCTTATGTTTGGCGAAAGCGGGGACCGCCTCGAGCTGTGTAGTCGGCATGTCGCCCACTGGTCGTCACACAGCTCTTGCCACCGCAGCTTGCAACCCGACACTCAAGATTCTGCACCATCGATGTTGGAACCCAAAGGCTTTACCCCGCCTGACCCTGTGATGCATCCCTTGCACGTGCGCTTTAGCAAGTTGTGGTACTAATTTGACACATTGACCACTCCACCGTCCGTATACCTCTGCTCCAAGACATAGTAAATGCCCCAACCCATTGTCATTGACCTCTGGGTAATATGTGGTGTTCTTTTAGTTTCCCGCTCTGGTTGCTGGTACCCGACCGTGGAGCTTCATTCCTTGAAATAGAACTCACGATTGTGACGTCACAGAAGAGCGGGAACCCCCGGGCAATGTATAACCCAGGGGCAACCCAATCCAAACGTCGTAGGTCACTGGGGTACGTAGGTATACTTGTATTACGTGAAAGGCGCTCCACATTAGAATATGGTACCGTGCCTTTTGCTTATTGTAATTGTTGCCTCCACGCAAATACAATTTGTTATGTCTATTATGAAGCCGACCGTTTGTTCCATTTGCCAAGTGTG